CAAGATCTACTTGAGCGTTCGAACACAAAAAAAAAAGAGAAGGGTTAATATCATTATCGGGTGTAATGGCTTCGAAGAACAACTGGCAGGCAGATCAAGCAGGGAATACCCCAGAGGACAACGTCGATAAGATCTTGGAGACTTTGCCGGAGTTGAATAAACTGTTATCCGATATCTCAGGTAAAAGCGAGGAGCAACAAGGGATAACTAATCAAATTAGTACTGTAGCAAGGAGCCTAAGTGCTCCTTCTGTTTTGACTCATAATTCATCTGATGGAAAACTGATTATGAGGCTGCAGTATCATTTCCGGCTCCTCAAACTGAAGCTAGGAAAGCTGGAACAATTTCGAACAAATCTGGAAGCAGAGCTGGATAAACATCTTGCTACCCTTCAGGCACTGGTTACAGATTTGGATTCCTCAAGAGTTTCTTCTCAACCTTGGCACTGGATAAAGCGTGACTTGCAAGGCATTGAAAAGAAGATCTCTGACTTGCTGTACCAACTCCCTTTACTGTCTGGCAAGTCAGAAAACCAGAAAGCAACAGCATACGGTGATCAGGATGAGGGAGACGAGGTTCATCAGGAGAAGGCTTATACTTACCTCCCTGGCCTACATACAAACGTGGAAGTTCTCATCAGATGCGAAACGTTCAGGCAAGTGAAGCAGAAGTTTATAGACCTTGATATTGAACGGAAGATGTGCCTTTTGAGTTTCGCTGTGTTCCCTGAGAACAGAGAGGTTCACAGAACAGTGCTCATGTATTGGTGGATAGGAGAGGGGATTCTACCTGTCCAAGGAGCTGAAGAAGCGGTAAGGGACATTCTTAACGAATTCACCGAGAAAGCGTTGGTCGAACCGGTCGAAGAGAGGCGTAAAGTGGCTCCAAGCAGCTATAAGATGAACCCTTTTGTGCATTCTTCAGTTATACATCTCGCAAAGAAGGTTGGCATCTTCGATATTTACAGTGGAAAATATAATAAGCCAATCACGAGCAAGTCAGAGATGGGGAAGGTGTGCATTGTGGAGGGGTCGGCAGAGGCAGCACTTGGGGAAAACCCACTGAAAATCGAAACTGTGTTCAATGTTTCTGAGAGAGACCTGGATTCCACAGTCAAGTGGTTCTCGAAGAATCCACGTGCATACAGACGCTTCACGATCAATTCATCAGAAGCTGGGTTCAAGTCACTCAATGTCTTTTACTTGGGGAGATGGGAAAGAAGTAAGAAACGTCACATCCAGGTACAGAATCATGAGCTTATGAAATGTTTGAAACATTTGACGAAAGTAAAAGTGCTAAGTTTTCAAGGAATCTCGACCATTAGAAGCCTCGACCGTTCGGTTTGTAAGCTACAACATCTAATCGTCTTAGACCTCAGGGAGTGCTATGAGCTGACGAAGCTTCCAGAGAAGATAGATTCCCTCCAGAATCTGGTCTACTTGGATATGACAGGATCCTATATGTTGGAATATATTCCCTTAAGGTTGGCTCTGTTGAAGAAGTTAGAGGTCCTTAAGGGCTTTGTTGTTTGCGACTCCCTCTATGAGAGTGTCGCGTGCAAGTTGATTTATTTGAAGAACTTGCCGAAGCTAAGAAAGCTCAGCATCGAAATAAACAGTGATGATCTCAGTGTGCAAGACTTGACGAGGTACCTTGTGGAGCTCAAAGCATTGACGAGTTTGAAAGTGACATGGAGAAGGGAGCTGGACTTCGTCCGTGACCCGCCCACGGGGGGAGCCGTAAAAGAATTTTTGCGTACGATGACAATGACCCCAAAATTTAGGGCCCCTGCTCCGTTTGTTTTTCCTTCGCAGTTAAAGAAGCTCAACCTGCAGCGGTTCCCAGACAGAGTTCTTCCCTCGTGGCTTCAGCCGAAGAAACTGCTTCACTTGAAAAAGCTCCACATTGGAGGAGGAAGAATACTGAAGGGTTTTGGTGATTTGCCTGAGGAGGCAACAGAGTGTGCTGTTGAGGTCTTACGTCTCACGTCCCTTCCCCAGCTTCGAGTCGGATGGATAGAGCTGAAGCAACTCTACTTCCCAAACCTGACCTTTCTTGAGAACTATGAGTGTCCAAGAGTTACCCTTACTCCCTGCGATGGATCTGGAATCTGGAAATCTGACCAAGACTGATGTTATCTTCAACAATACCGGAGTAATATGATCGTTATTCAGCTATGAACTTTTGTTTTCCTATGTTGTTGGTGTGTTGATTTTTTTTTTTCCATTTCTCTGGTTTGATATTTTTTGTACTTTTTAAATAAAAGATAGTTTACTTTATCAATATGAATTTTGTTGTGGTTGATCATTTTGAAAGATGATTTTTGTAGATTAATGAAAGCTGTTAGAGCAGGCCCATCAGTGAATCCCTGTCTAGGTTCACTGATTTTTTTTTCTTTTTTTTTATTATCTTTTTCGTTTAATTTTTTAAATAAATAAATAAATAAATAAAGTAAAGTGGATCAATTGCGAGCCGCCACGTGGCGTGGAGTCCATGAAACAGTGTTGATCCGGGTTCACCCTACTGATCTTTCGCGAGCAAGGTTCATCAAATTTATTATATTTTTTTTTTGTTTCTGTGTGAACTCCCCCATCAACCTTCAATGGAGATACCCTTACCAAGATATTCATCATACCTGCAAAACATTAGCCATCAGCTTGTGAAAGAGACGTTTTTTTTATACCGGTGGCTTTCTCAGTACGATGCTGAAGTTTTCATTCAATTGTTTTTTTGTTAACACTATGGTTTTCTCTGAGCTTTTCTTTAAATGTTTATGGTTTGCTCTTGCTTTTATAAATGGAAACTAGAGATTTATTACAAGAAAACACGACTTTAGCGAGGAAGAAATTTTACGAGTTTATTACAACTAAATTTACGAGTAATTTCATAGTCGTAAAGTCCTTGCGTAAAATTATAAGGAAACACATACGTCGCAATATACTTGTTGGTTTACGACGAAAGTACTAGGAATTAGAAACTTCGGTGTAAATCCGAAGTAAAATTATAAGGCATTTACGACGAATCATTTAACAATTACATTTAAAAATAAGTGTATTCCGTGCTCTTAACCTAACTAATTTTGTTGTAAATATGTTGTATAGCATATATGATGGAGTTGTAAAATCTTAGTAAACTCATCATTGTAAATTCGTTGTTACACCTTCACAAACCAAGTTCGAAAATTTCCTATATATATATTATTCTTCAATGCTAACAACACACAACCAAATACAAAGAAAAAAATCAAGAAAAAACATCACGACGACTTATGTATTGATTTTGCAAGAAATTGAAAGGCGTGTACAGTCACCAGAACAGTTCTTATCAACTCTGCATATTTTTTCTTCGACAAGTCGGTGACTAGTTATGTGGAGTTGATAAAACTGTTCCAATGACTGTGCACTTACTTTAGTTTTTGCGAAGAAATCTAATCAAGAAATTTTTTTTATACTTATTCATTCGTTGCAATTCGTCGTAAATTTACAAATGCATTACAATGAATCATGTTAGGTGAAAATGATTTTAAATGTGTATTTCACCTACCTTGTAAATACGTTGTTACCAAGATGTTAGGGATATGTAAAATCATGGTAAATCCTTTCCTTGTAAATACATAGTAAAACTTTTACCTACCAAACTCAAAAATATTTCTATATATACTAGCATTCTCATTCCATACCAACACAAACGAAAAAAAAAGAAAACAACTTAAAAAAATGTTCGATGGAAGAAATATTTTCGAATTGCAGAGTTGGATGTATACGCATCAAGATTTCGATGGTAGAGTGACCAATGCATTTCTTGGCGGGTTATAGACATTCATGTACCACGCATACTGTACACCGCTCACGCAAAAAAATGGTAAGATGTTCTATCCTTGTCGGAAGTACAAGAATTCAAAATTTACATGTATTGAAACTGCATGAAAACATTTAGTACATAAAGGTTTTACACCATAATACTATATTTGATTTCAACATTGAGAGAGTTATGGAGGAAATGAAATTAGTAGCAGTAATAGTAATTTTCAGAATGCCGGTAATAATGAGAAACCGAATCATTTGCATAACGAATATAGACACTTTCAACAATAAATGATGAAACTGAAAATATTGAAGAATCTAAATTGAAAGAAAAAGAATTTTATGAAATGTTAGATACTGCAAATCAACTAATCTAGATTTTATAATATTAGTGTGTCAGGTGAATCTTTTTCTTTCTATGTGTGTTTGTCTTATCTAGCGGGTCTCTGAACATTTCCACTAGAGAGTTCTTTAGTATTGTTTCCCATAAAAATAAAAATCAAGAAAGGAAAAGTGAAAAAGAAAATCTCAAAATGTTGAGATATTCATCTAATAGTTTCATACATAAGGGTTGTGACTGAATGTCACTTCTAGAATAAGATTTGAGACTTCTACAATAAAATTTGAAGGTGAGAAATGTTTTACTCCTAGTTACTTTACAAAAGTACCAATCAAGTGAAAATATTTATTCATGTTCTTTTTTTCTAATTACTATTCAGATAGATTAAAACATAGACACATATATATTTTTTTTTTTTTTGTTCAAACACATATTATTCTCTTCTACATAAAGTAAACATATTTACTCTACTTTTTAATTTTTTCCACTTTATTTTTTTCTCTCTTTTTCACTTATTTGTTGCTCTCTTTTGCTCTTAAAATAACCAGTCACATTCAAGTTACTTTTGGATAAGTATACTCCATGTTGAGAACTTTTCAGTGCTCTGACAATCAACTTGAAACTAAAGAAAGCCCAACTTATATTTCATTTTTTCAACTTGTTTTCATTATGAAGAAAATTTAATGTATGACGACAAAACATTTACATTAAGAAAAACTATGTTTTGGTAGTTCAGATCAATCTGCTAATTAATTTGTAGTAGATGTGAAGTAACCGACCATTTGGCACAGCTCAGACATTGTTTTTCTAATATATACTCTTTGATTTAAAAGAGAGTACATCGACTTTTTATGATAAATTAATACTCCCTCCGTTTCATATTAAGTATCGTTGTAGAGAATTTTTTGCGTTACAAAATAAGTGTCGTTTTCGGTTTTCAATGCAAAATTTATTAATTTTATTCTGTAATTTGTTTTTCTATTGGTTAAAATATGGTTAGGTGTATGGGTAACTATGTTTTTATATAGGAAATATGAAATTAATTGTTTTCTTAATCCGTGTGCACAGCTGTAGAGTGACACTTATAATGAAATAGAGGGAGTATATTAGTTTTTTTTTTAATATATTAGCTTTCTTACCTTCCATAAACAATCGAGTAAAAATATTTAGAATCATCGAGGGACGAGTAGGAAATTCCAGTGTTACTTAACTTTGGCGAGAGAGATAACTTAGGTTTTGTTAATAAAACTGTGTGTAATTTTAAGACCGGACATAGATACTTGTTACTTGGCTCATATCCATTACTTGACCCATATTTATCCCGTAAAGTTACTTACAGTAATCAAAACAAATAACAAGTACCTCAAATTAAAAAATTGTAAGTACAAGCCAAATACCAATTTTTTAAAAAAAAATTAACTAATTGAATCGTTTATACTTGTTACTCGTTATCCATTACAAAAGAGATAGATTTTCTATTCAGTTATTTATAAATTTCATTTCATTTTTGATGTCCATTTTTCAGTTTGGTACAGTTCAGTTCATGGTTCCGAACAATTATTTCCAAACCTATAAATTATCTTATAAATCCATATCTTTCAAAATGGGAATTTGAATCTAATTATTATAAGATGAGATCATAATTACGAAATATTATAAAATACTGGAATGGGTTAAACAATTTTAACCAATTTACAAGCATAAGACATCAACCATAACTTTTTTTTTGACAACACACCAACCATACTTTGAACCAACATATTGGCAAAGAACATAACTTTTACAAAAATTAAATATTTTAATAAAAATATTTAATATAATTTAATACTAACTCATTATAAATTACATTTTGAAAATAGAAAACTAAATAATATTTATTTAATAATATTGTTTAGTAATTATATCAAAACATATTTTTCGTATGTAATAATTTAAATAAAATTGAAAATGATATAAATTAAAGTAAATTAATAGTTAGTATTATAAATATTTTAATTATATTTATCATTTTAGTAATTTATCTATTAGAAATTTTTTTTACTTATTATTAATTTATTTTATTTTAAAATAATTAATTTAGTTAAAATCTTAAAAAATAAAAATTAAATTAATTATATTAGAACTAAAAAAATCTATAATATTATATGTGATTTAGTATACATTTACAATGTGTAATTAATGACTCGAATATTATAAGTATAATTCTGAAACATAATGGTTTTCAATAGCATATATTGTAAATTATACTGTACATAGAAATTATTGTCATGTAATACTTTTTGCATAGATTAGATATCTTTTAAACATTATTTGCAAAACAAATTATATATGTGCCATCACCGTATTCATTAAGTACAAAAAACATAATAACGTGGGTTTTGAAAAATGTGACATGACATTAATCTAATTTTGATATGTACAATTCCCTTAAAATTAAAATAAATATGGTAATGATAAATAACTCTTATATCATCGTTAAAGTAATTATTCTATATAAATATTTATTTTTGGTAAATTCTTTTATATATATTAATACTAGTAGTTGATATATCACCAATTAAGTAGGGTCAATTGACCAAAATAGCATTTCTAAAGTTTGGGAGAATTTCAATTATACCACTTTGGTGGTACGATTTTTCATGTTTACCATCAACAAATGAACATTTTCAAAAATACACATTTTATTAAAGGATAAAAGATTCTTATATCCTTATTCTTTATATATATACATAAAATAAATATTAAATAAAATATTAACCTTAAACCCTAAAACATCAATTCTAAACTCTAGACCCTAAAAAGTAAACCTTAAACCCTAAAAATCAACCCTAAACCCTAAAATATCAATTCTAAACCTTAAACCCTAAACTCTAAACCCTAAAAAGTAAACTCTAAACCCTAAAAAATCAACACTAAACCCTAAACTATCAATCCTAAACCCAAAACCCTAAATCCTAAATTCTAATAGTATTTTGAGTATTAAAATTTTAATGGTAAAGTTGGTTAGTGTAAAGTTAAAAAATGGTATCTTGAAAGTGTTATTTCTGGCAATTTCCCCTA